CGGGACACGGCGAGGGCTGCCTCCTACCCCTCGGGGCCCCCGTGGGTTTACAGTACAGCGGGCTTGGGGCCAGAGGCAGGTGACCACTGCCTGGAAGATTCTTCCTACCACACCCCCCCTTAACTTGTTGGGTTCCTTCTCATCTCTGGGTTTAGAGGTCGCCCCTCGGATGCTGCTCCTTTCCACCCTCCCTAGAGGGGGCTCCCCATCTGACACGGCACCCACGGTGCCTCAGACTTCTGAGTCCTTACAGCATTTAGCACCATGTACCGGTTTTCTTGGTCTGGATCGTCCCCTCCCTGACGGAGGGGATCTCTCTCCCGTCTCACCCGTCTCTCGCGCTGTCCCCAGGGCCTCTGTGTCCCAGGGAGACACAACATGAGGCTGCTGTGCGGGGACAGGGGGACCGTTTGCTTCCCTGGAAAGTTAAGAGTTCGCTCGGGAGAAGGACCGCGGAGTCTCCAGCTCACCCCCGGGCCGTGCATCCTGTCTGCGGAGGGGGAATGTTCTGAAATCCAGCTCTTCCGAAGTCAGAGCTTTTGTGTTCGGGGGTTTTGTTTTGCTTTTCTAATGGCATCCTGAGCAAATGGCACCTCGGATGGCTTTGCCCGGCTCAGGTTTTGTGGATTGTCTGACCTTGACCCCTGCCGCCCGCCATCCCGAGAGGTAGACCTTGAGCCCCGACCCGGACCACAAAGGCAGGAGGCGGGGAGGGAGTGGTCGCTGAGCAGAAGGTTCGGTGACCAGACCAGCCGAAAGAAGCAGGTGCAGGCAGGCGACGGGCAGGCAGGCTTTTCTGCCCCGACGCAGGCAGGGTGTGGAGAACTCAGTTCCGTCTTGTCTCGTCTGGGTAGTTTTGTTTCCACTTTACTTTTATTGAAGTCCAATTCACGTTAAAAAAAAAAAAAATAACCATTTTGGGGACACCTGGGTGCCTCGGTCCATTCAGCGTCCAACTTCAGCTCAGGTCGGGATCTCACGGTCCGTGAGTTCGAGCCCCGCGTCGGGCTCTGTGCTGACAGCTCGGAGCCTGGAGCCTGTTTCGGATTCTGTGTCTCCCTCTCTCTCTGCCCCTCCCCCACTCATGCTCTGTCTCTCTCTGTCTCAACAATAAGTAAACGTTAAAAGAAATCATTTAAAAAACAAGTGTTTGTTTGAGTCCCCGTTCTCAGTTACGTCGAGTAGTTCCCTAGGCGTGGAATCGTTGGGTCTCGGGTAATTCTGTGCTCAGCTCTCCGGGGCGCCACCGAACGTTTGCCCAGAGGACATGCCCTTGCTGTTGTCGCCGTCCGCGGGCAGGGCCCCGTTCTTCCCCGTCCTCGCCAAGACTTGCCAGCTTCCTGCGCGTGTGCGCGCGGGCACGTCTGGGTGCGTGCGCGCGTGAAAAGCCAGCCGTCCCGGTGGGCGGGAGGGGACCTCTCATGTGGCTTTGCTTTGCCTTCCTCTGATGGCCAATGACATTGAGCATCTCTCCACGTCCCCGTTGGCCACTTGCGTGCGTTCCTCGGGGAAATGAACGTCTCCCCGAGTCCGTTGACCGCTTGTCACACGGGGTTGTTTGCCTGTTTCAGGGGCGAGACTTCTTTTGAAATACTCTGCCCTTTTACTTTCGTAGACCTCTCTGTTGGGGTGTCCCTCAGGCTGCGAGGAAGCGCGAGAACCTACAAGAAGCGTGTGCGTGCTCTTCACCCCGAATCCGCCGACGGCTGGCGCGTGGCCCCGTGAGCGTCGTCGCAGGCCCCGCTCGAATGGCAGGCAGGTCTGGACAAGCAGAACTCGTTCAGAACCGGATCTCGGAGGAGGGCTGGGGCGGAGGTGGTAAGGAGGCCCCCCCTGCGCCCTCTGTCAGCTCAGTGACCCCGTCGAGGGGCGAGGGGCGGCTTGTGCACGAGGCGCGGGAGCCTGGGGGAGACAGAGCAGCAGTGGTCCCCAGGCGCCGCGGGAGCGGAGCGCAAGGCGGACCGGAGAGCCCTTCACCTTGGCTCACACTTCCTGCCAGAGTTTATTACGGTGACGTTGGGTTTTTTTTAATAATTTTTTTTTGACGTGTATTTATTTTGAGAGAGAGAGAGAGAGAGAGAGAGAGAGAGAGGGAGACAGACTCCAAAGCAGACTCCGTATTGTCGGTGCCGAGCCCGATGTGGGGCTCAAGCTCACGAAACCGTGAGATCGTGACCTGAGCCGAGATCGAGTTGGACGCGTAGCCGCCCCAGCCGCCCAGGGGCCCCGTTCCTTTTTCTTTTAAATGTGTGTGTATGTGACTTAAACCTACGGAAAAGCGCAGGAAACATATGCGGGCAGTTCGGCAACCCCCATAAACCAGCATCCTGACTCTTCTCTGTTTTACTGTGGTCACCTCCAGCGATGACCTCTACAGGGAGGGACTTTGTCCCAGACCAGGGGCTGTTCGGTACTGTCTGGAGACATCTTTGGCCGTCACCCCTGGTGGGGGGCTGGCGGGAGAACATCGCTGACGTCTAGTGGGTAGAGGCTAAGCATCCCCCAGCGCACAGGGCAGGCCCCGCGTCAGAGGGTGGTCCAGCCCCAGACGTCGAGGATGCACAGCTGGCGGGGAGGGGCAGTTGTGTTCCCGGCTCCTAGGACACGGTCTGGCACAGGCAGTGGCCGGTTGACCTTAGGAAGTCCCAGCAAAGTCGTCTGGGCGGGGGCCCTGGCGGGGGAGCAGACACATCCATGCAGCCACTTGGTGAATGTCTGCTGAGCTCCTACTATGTGCTATGCGCATAGTAGGTGAGAACGGAAACACCCAAGCCAATGACGAGACAGTCCCTACCCTTAGAACACTTCCCGCGTATTGGGAGAGTCAGGCATTGTCACAAGAAACGTCATTTCCACCGTCCTGTCGCCTGGGTCCTATCCAGCAGAGGCACGCGGGCCCTGAAAGCCCGTTCTCGGGGGAACCCAGCTGGCCTGGAGATCAGAGAACGTTTCTGGGAGGAAGCAGCCCTGTGTTTTGCCGAGAGTAGAGATGAGAGGAAGCTTGAACCGGTTTCCCCAGCACAGAAAACAGGGAAGGGTGTCAGGGAGAGGGAGAAGCGTATAGTATACAGAGGCCTTGGAGCAAAGAGGCAGGTGGTGTGCATGTGTTGGGGAGGGCAGGTTGCTGCAGCAGGAGAAGGGAGGGTGCGTGGAGGGGCGCTGGGGGCCCTTCGGGGAGAGGCCTGCGGTGTGTCAGGGCTCCTGGCCCTGGCTGTTCATCGGAATCAGCCAGGGACCTCTGGAAACGCCCAGTTCGATCTCACTGATCCGGGTTCTGACTTCTTTGGTCCAGGCTGGACCTGGGTGTGGGCTTATTAAAACCCCCTCCTGCAGGGGATGCTAACACCCAGGTGGAGAGAGTCTAGGTCAGACCGGCAGGGGCTGTGGGTCGCTCATTTTTGTCGCTGTCCTAACAGGGCCAGGGCTAGGTTTTTGGCCTAGGAGGCGGGATATGGAGGGGTTTCACAATCAGATTTCCTTTTTTTTTTTTTTTTTAATGTTTAATTTTTGAAAGAGAGTGAGAGGGGGAGGGACAGGGAGAGGGAGAGAAGGCACAAGCAGGGGAGGGGCAGAGAGAAAGGGAGACACAGAATCCGAAGCAGGCTCCAGGCTCCGAGAGGTCAGCACAGAGCCCGACGCGGGGCTCGAACCCACGAACCGTGAGATCGTGACCTGAGCCGAGGTCAGATGCTTCACCGACTGAGCCCCCCAGGCGCCCCAAAACCAGATCTGCTTTTGACGGAGAAATGAAAAACAAGTGGTCGCGTCGCATGGAAGAGAAGCAAGAGAGGTCAGCTGAGAGCTGGGCCCGGCAGCTAGAGAGGGGCCGATAGGACCAGCGCCTTGGCTGGGGATCACGGGTGCAAAGAGCCGGCCTAGCCCTCAAACCTGACCTTTCGACCAGCGTGCCTGGGCTTTGTGGCCTCCTCCTGCTGGAAAGGGGACGCTTTCTCCTGCAGCAACGCTGAATGGGAAGGAAGGAAGGGAGGTCCCCTGGCCAGGGCCAAGGGGTCAGTTGCTAGGAGGTCTGGCCCTGGGGCCACCGGTCACTCTGGGGGCAGGGGGAGGAGGCGAGGAGCCTTGCTGGAGAGAGAGGCTGAGAGCTCCCTAAATGGGAGGGCATCAGCTGAGGGGGAAGGGGGAGGCGGACAGTGAGTGGAGGTCAGTAACGGGGCGGCGGAGTGAACTGAGTTCAGGGTCAGGCTGTCCAAGAACAAACAGCCCAGGGGACATCTGTTTTCATTCACAGCCCGGAGCAGAGCTGGGCGGGGCGGTTCCTGAGGCCGACGGCCAACCTGAGGGCCTTTTCCCCTTGGGGCCCCCCTGCTCGTACAGAGGACATGATGACAAAGGGCACTTCCCGTGCACCCAGTGGGCTCACCCACACTATCCATTTAATCCTCCCAGCTTCCTGGCTCAGAGAGGGCAGAGGCTCGCCCCAGGTCACACAGCGCCCTTGGGACCCCGGGGCCATCTCCAGGCACACTGCCTAGGGCCCACGAGACTTTGAGGGGCTCAGGAAAGTGACTCGGTTTCTCTTCAAGTCAGAACTGAAAAAAGAAAGCATTCCAGCTTGAGTTCTATTTGTCTTTTCATCAAGGCACTTGCGGTAGGATCCTTGTTATCCTTGTGTTTGCACAGAGCACGGGCCCAGGAAGGCACGATCCCCGCGGGCCCACAGCAGCGCGCTCTAAGCCCGTCTGTCTGTCCCTCCGCATCCTTCAGCGCTCAGGTGTGCGGTCACTTCCCCGGGGCGCCCTCCCAGGACTCCTCTAAGTCTCTTGCGTGTCCGTGTGACGCGTGGACTGATGTCACCCTGACCCCTTTCGTGGAGCGTTTACTTGCTTGATCTGGTCAAGGTGGGGGTGTCCGATCAGGGCTGCAGGGCGATTTCTTCCTGGACCCTGTAACTGTGACCTTGTCCTCTGCTCTTCAGAGTGGGAGCCCTGAGCCCTTGTGCCCTTTATGGTTTTAAAGGAGACCGTTTCCTGTCTTTGCAGAGGGAGAGAGGCCTTGGCAGGCGCCCAGCAGGCCCCTCGCTCGGTGCAGAGGACCTGAAAGGCCGTGCCAGCCCCAAGGCTTTCCCAGAGGAAACCTCGCCCCCGGATCCGCAGGAAGTCACAGTCAGGGGCTGGTGAGTCCCAGACGGACGGCCCACAAAGCTTGGGATCCGATCCAGATCTCCGGAGCTCGGATACACCAGAAAGACCTCCGCCGCTCGGAACATCAAGTTCTGAGGCTTGGCAGAGACCCGGGCGGCTTTGCTGGCCCCGCGATCACGGCTGGGCCCCGGGCCCCGGCTGGCCTCCCCCGCCCCGGCGCCCGCTGGGCCGTCCGGCCTGGCTGTCGGGCCGGGCTCCTGCCTCGATTCTGATCAAAGGAAAGCGGCTGGTTTCCCGGGCAGATTTGTTCCGTGTTTACTTCTCTTCCCAGAGCCTTTCTCCTGCCCCATTAAGACCTGTAGTTCACGTGTCCCTGGGCCTCAGGACTCCGGAGGGTCCTTTTTATAAGTTAATCTTTGCAAAAAATTAACTGAAGGGTCCCAGCTCGGCCCTGGGTCCCTGGGATCCGAATGCTGCCGCGGGGGGTGACTTCTCAGCTCAAGAGCCTTTATCGAGCGCCTGTTGTGTGCCAGCCCCGCACCATGTCCTGGGGGCTAGGAGATGCACCTGACTTTTGTCCTGCCTCTCTTATCTGTAGACGAGGCCCCCTTCCTCGCAGGGTCATCGTGACGGCTATATTTGTTCCGTGAACCGACGCAGGCCAGGCCCTGTGCAGGCAAATAAGAGAGGCGCGGATGCCTGACCTTTTGGAGCTGGCGTCCGCCTCGGGGGTCTCTGAGCCCCTCCTGCCACTGTAGCCAAGACGACAAAGTCAGTGTCACAGGTGAACGAACTGGGACGCGTGGCACAGGCCTTCCCAGCAGCACGCGGACACGGGCCGAGCCGGTTCGCCACCCGGGTGCGTCCCTAAGTCTGGGGCTGGGGGCCCTTCTGTCGCGGGGTCACAGGGGCCTGGGGTCGAGCCCCAGCTCTGCCGCTGGCCGCCGGACCGCGAGCGGTCTTGCGCCTGTGTTTCCTCCCCTGCGAAACGGGCGTCACCAGAGGGGCTGCTTGTGCGCAGCAGGCGACAGAACGTTCGCGAAGCGCTGAGCCCGGCGCTTTTCCGCGCCCGGCCCGAACACAAGCGGGCCGGCCCCGGTAGGCACACTCACGACGCGTGCAAACCTTCGCCGACCCCTCCCCAAGGACCCCACGACGCAGCTGTCCGCTCGGCCGCACGCGAGGCGAGGACGCCGAGGTTTCCGCAGCCGGGCTCGGCCGGTGCCCACCCAGCACCATGTTCCGAAGACGCTTCCGTGGGCAGAGCCCGTCGGCTCAGCTCAAAACTTGGGTGAGGTGGCAGCTGCGAGCCCCACCCCCCCCCCCCCCCCCCCCGGCCCCGGGTCCTTCCCGCCCCCCGACCTGCCCCCCCCCCCCCCCCGCCCCGGGAGCCAGCACACCTCCTCCGGGAGGGGACCGAGCCTGCACGCAAATGCTCATTATCCCAATGTGTCCCGGCCACGTCTCTGGCGAGCCCGTGCCCCCCTCCTCCTGCCTCCACCGTCTCAGCTGCCCGGGCTGCAGACATCTATGTGGTGACTCTGCGGCCAGATGTTATAGGGCAAAGCTAAAAATAGGGCGGGCCGGCCACCGGCAGGGGTGGGGGTAGGGGTGGGGGCATGTGCTGGGCGCCGACACATGATCCGAGGGGCCCGGCCGAGTGGAGCTGAGAGCCCGGCGGACCGTGCACGCTTCTGTCCCCCACTTGCAGGCCCCCCCCTCCCGGCAAGAGGGGCCCCTCTTCTCTGCCCCGTGTGGGAGGAAATGCCTTCTCCCGGCCGCGGGATGGGCAGCGGCGGGAGGAAGGTCATCTGGGCTCTGTCCTTCCTGCTGCTTGTCCGCGAAGCCAGTTCTGCCAAGAATATCTGGAGACGGGCGCTGCACGCCAGGCTGGCCGAGAAGCCCCGCGTAAGTGCCCGGGGCGGGGAGGCCGGGAGGGGACGGGCGGCCCCCAGACTCGGGCGGGCCGGCACGCACGTGTGCCAAGGTTGGGAGGTGGGCAGATGAGCTCCCCGCCCTCGCTCACGGCCCCTGGTCTGTGAGCCAAGAGGCGGAGGGCGCCGCAAAAAACGCACAGGGGGATGGTGACACGCTTTGGCCCACCAAAGAGGACAGCCCCCGCTTTGAGACTCCCAAGGGCTCGAAACTGAGCGTTGTGTTCTCAACCATCAACAACCAAGCGTTTATAAGACATAATTAGGCATTCGTGCGGTCATTTACTCGTTCAGTAAACATTTAGTAGAAACTGCTCTGCTGGGTCAGGCACTGTGTGCGGTCCTGTGGGTTCAACACGGAGACAGCGGCTCCCACCCTCGGGGGGGACGTGGTCGAGTGGGGGAGGCGGTCGGGTGACATGTGGTGGCGGTACGAAGGGATAGGACAGCACAGCAGAGGGCGGGAAGCGTGCACCTTGGAGCCGGGGGTCTGGGTTTGCATTCAGACTCTGCTGCTTACCAGCTGTGTGACTTCAGGCGACTTGTTTGACATCTCTGAGCACCAGCGATCTCATCTGGAAAAGACAGAGTGTTAGAGGGATGCGGTTCTTTCAACACCTGTTGTTCGGTCACCCCTGTTTACCGGGCGCTCCTCTAGGCTGTGGGCATATAGACAGCGGTTCTCTGCTTTGGGGAGATCGCGATGTAGTGAGAGAGTAAGTGATAAGGAAAACAGGTGCCAAGGAGAGAAGTAAGGCAGGAAGGGGACCAGGCGAGAGAGACCGGGGGCAGGAGGGTACAATCTTATTTTTTAAAAATTTTTTTAACGTTTATTCGTTTTTGAGAGACAGAGAAAGAGCATGAGCGGGGAAGGGGCAGAGAGAGGGAGACATGGAATCTGAAACAGGCTCCAGACTCTGAGCCGTCAGCACAGAGCCCGACGCGGGGCTCGAACTCACGAACTGCGAGATCATGACCTGAGCCGAAGTCGGACGCCCAACCGACTGAGCCACCCAGGTGCCCCGGGGGGGTGTGTGTGATCTTAACGCCCCCCCCCCCCCGCTTCTAGCACAGGGAGCACAGGGGTGGGGAGGAGTCAAGGAGACAGAACTGACTCTCACAGGATTGAATGAGTCCCCTTAACATAGCAAGTGCTCGGTGCCTCTTGGTGACATCGTGAAATCGTTGTGAAACTGGGTGGCGCTTGCCACCCCAGGTGGGATATAGGACCCTTGAGGTGAGGCCTGATTGTGTCTCGTTCAGTGCAGTGTTCCTGGTGCCTGGCCAGGCGTCTGCCATTCAGTCGGCACTCGGTACATTCCTGTGAATTAATTATGGGCAAACGCACTGGAAGCCCAGAAGAATGTGTTCAGCTCTGCTCCAGAAGAGTCAGGAAAGGGTCTTCCAGGGTTGAGGACATTCAACATTGGGCTCTGAGGGATGAGTAGGAGTTTGCCGGGTAGATCAGTGGGAAAGGGGAATGTTTCATGCCGCCTGCCACGGTGAGATGCTTGAAACTGTATCGAGGCTAATCTCAGTCTCCAGGGCTCACGTTCTCCAGCTCAGGCAGGAGGCCACCGGGAGTGGAAAAGAATAGTGGCAACTGAAATGACCGTAGGTGTTTGGAGAAGGGAGAGCAATCCCTGAAGGCTTCCTGGAGGAGGGGAGACCCTGGCCAGATCTTGAAGAACTATTAAGGATTAGGAGGAGTAAGGACATCCCTGGAAGAAGACACAATGTGGGCAGGGCGCGAGGCACAAATGGTGTATCTGGGAGCCCCTGAGGGGACCCTCACTGCAGGGGAGGGTTTGTGCAAGGAGGGAGAGAGACCCCTCTCAGGTTTGACACCTCCTTGCTCTTTGCTGGCCCAGCGGGATGGCTCATTTAGGACTTTGGTTCTCGGACCACAAAGAGATCTCCAACGTGTCGTCTGGGCTGATCTCCACTTTGTCCCACAGCGTCATAGGAACGGACCTGCCATCTTGCCAGGCGGGAGGGGGGAGGCTGGGAGGCTGGGGACCCTGGGCACGGGGTTGGCGGGGGGGAGGGTGGTCTTCAGCCTTGACCCCGGACCCTCGAGGACCGGGGGGAGGCAGGTCAGGGTGAGGAAAGGCTAGGTGTCCCGTAGGGTGCTGAAACCCGCTCTGGAGAGTTAAATAGAGCCCTTGTTAAAATTAAACCAGGGGCGCCTGCATGGCTCGGTCGGAAAAGCGTCCGACTCTCGGTTTCGGCTCAGGTCACGGTCTCGCATTTCGGGCGTTTGAGCCCCGCGTCGGGCTCCACGCCGACACCGCGGAGCCCGCTTGGGATTCTCTCTTCCCCTCCCTCTCTACCCCCCCCCACCCCCCGCCCTGCTCACTCTGCTTCTCTCACAGTGAATAAACTTGAAAAATTAAAAAAAAAAAGTCAAAGCATAGAGCCACTGCCCAGCTCCTCGCAAGGCACCCGCCCTCGAGGTGGCCTCACAGGGCACCTGCCGAGGCTGGTTGTAGGGCCTGGGCCAGCACGTGGCTGCCCCTTCTCCCTTTCTCGAAGCCCAGCCCTGGGCAGAGAGGGCAGAGCGGGCCCAGCGCACTTCCTGGTCGCCGTGTCCACCTGCCTTCCTGCCCGAGGACTTAGAGACACGGCAGAGAGGGAGGCACGGCCTTCCGTCCCCAAGGAGGCCACTGGGGGGCTCGTCGTGAGAAAGAGGGTCCCCCCTCTGAGCCTCGGCCTCCCCGCCTACAGCGTGGGGGGGGGGGCGGGCAGCACCGGCTTTGCCCCTCCTCTTCATGTGCACTGTTAAACACAAAACCAGACCACGGGGCGCCTGGGGGGCCCCGTCGGTTAAGCGCCCGACTTCGGCTCCGGTCATGATCTCGCGGTTCGTGAGTTCGAGCCCCGCGTCGAGCTCTGTGCCGACAGCTCAGAACCTGGAGCGTGTTTCAGATTCTTTGTCTCCCTCTCTCTCCGCCCCTCCCCGCCCCCCGTCTCTCGAAAATAAACATTCACAAAATTAAAAAAATAATAATAAACATAAAACCGGACCAGACAGGCAACACGGCACCAAATATTTGCCAGGCTGGATAAAACAGAGGCAAGATGTTTGTAAATAGCCCGGCGGCCTGCTTTGGGGCGCTCGGCCCATTCGGTGGAGCGGGCGTTCGATGGAACAGTGCTTTCCTGAGCCCTCGCTATGTGTCAGGACAAGCACTCGCCACCTGTTAAGTCACAGGAGCCTCCCAACTTTTACCGGGTGGGGCCCTCTGCAGCCACCATGTCACCGGGGACCGGGTGGCCCCAGTTCTCCGCGCATCGCCGTGGCTGAGTCTGGCTCATCCCCCAAGCTCCCGTCCAGGGCAGCTGGAGGTCTCTGGGCAGTACCCACCCTGCCCAGGGGCGCCTGCCTGGCGGAGGGGGCGCTGAGGGGGTGTGGCAGGAGGAAGGGCTGCCTCCCCAAGCTGGCCCCCCTTCCCCTTGTGATTTCGGTGACCTCCCGAGTCTTTTCTTGCGTCTTATTGTTGCTTATTTATTTTTTTGCGAAGTTAGCACGAGTAGGAGAGGCAGAAGGGCTCTCGGATACGACCGTACCTCCCTGGCTGGGGGACACGCTCAGCCGACACCCAGGACGGGCCAAGATGCTGGGGGTTCCCACCAGGGGAGCAGATGGGACTCGAAGACAGACCCGGCTTCCTCATCCTTGGGTGGGACACCTCTGAAGAACAGTCCGTACAGTGTCCCAGAGGTTCCCCTCGGGTCTGAGCGCCAGCTGCCCCCCCACCCCTGCCTGTCAATTGCCTGCGTATTAACGCCCCGTGGATGGGCTCTGCCCCTTCCCCGCCTGCTGGAGCTTCCTGGGACCCCTCCCAAGAACCCGCCCTGCCCTGGAATCCTGGTCTCGGGCGTGCGTGGCGGGTTCCACCGTGTCCCTCGAGAAAGAGATGCTCAGATCCTAACCCCTGGTTACCTGGAAACGGGACCTTATCTGGAAACAGGGCTGTTGTAGATGGGATTCACCAAGACGAGGACACTCGGGAGTGAGATGGGCGCTCCCTGAACCCAGTGTGGCTGGTGAGGAGAGGAGACCCGGAGGCAGACCCACGGCGGGGAGGCCAAGTGAAGACAGAGGTGGCGAACGGAGAGCTGTGTGTCCGAGCCAAGGGACGTCAGATTGCTGGGAGCCACCAGAAGCCGCAGACCGGTGCGGCACGGATCCTCCCGCACAGCTTGCAGAAGAAACCAGGCCCCCCCACCCCCACCCCACCACCTTGATTTCCTCCTCCTGGCCTCCAGAGCCGTGAGACAGCGCGCTCCTGTTGTGTCCAGCCCCCAGCTTGTGGGGCTTCCTCAGAGCGGCCCCGGGGACACCCCTGCGGTGTCCGATTTCTGCCAATTTCTGCTGCTTGCAGTCAGCAGCCCCGACGACAGACATCGCCCGGATGAGGAACTCGAGGCCCTGGTGAGACGTGACTCACCCCCAGGCCGTTCCGGCCAGGGACGGGTGAAGTGGTCATTACACTGTCGGAGTCCTGGGGACTCGCCTCACTCCTCTGAAGATGTGAGCTCGCACCCCCCACGGGACCCCATCATCAGGACCTCTAAGGCGCCTCCATGCAGAGGAGCGAGGGCTGCTCGGGGGCCCTGGGGTGTTCACGGCCAAGGCCCCGTGGGTCCTACCTGGGGGCGGGAGAGGGGAAGTGACGTGCCGAGGGGAACAACCCCACGGTTGGCCGTAGCCCGGTGTCCCGCACGTCACGGGCACGCGGAAACCTCTTCAGAATGGAGGATGGCGGGGGTGGCGATGAGCTGGCCGAGTCACTTTCTCCTCCGTGCAGCCGGCTTCCCGTCTGAGGTTCCAGGCCTGCAATCAGTCCCAGGCGGAAGTGACCAAGGGAAGAAGCATCCAGGACAACTGGGTGGTTATCATCGGGGAGCATGCCCGCGGGAGGGAGGTGAGAAAGCAGAGGAAGACTGGCTGGCGGTCCACAGCGGCGCCAGTGAAGGCGGCCAGAGCTGGAAAGGTCCGGAAGCTCAGAAGGAAAAAAAATGAAAGACGACCAATCCATGCGGTGGAATATTATTCAGCCATAGAAACGGGAGTGGGGTCGTCCCACTTGCTACCGGAGGGATGAACCCTGAAAACATTATGCTAAGCGGAAAAAGGCGGCCACAAAAGGCCACATCCTGTAGGATCTCTTGGCGTCGACTTTCCGGAATAGGCAAGCCCCTAGACACACACGGTACATTAGAGGTGCCGGGCTCTGGGGGGGGAGGGAACGGGAGCAGAATTTCTGTGTGGGTGATGGACAGGCGCACCCACACCGGGTCGTTGTGGTCTTAGCATTCGGTCTTCTCCTCGGAAGGCGGTTCCCCTAAGTGCTTTCATATCACCTCGACTTCTCCCTAGCATTCAGCCCCTTTAATATGATGTGCATGCTTTTTTTTTTTTTTTTAATGTGGCTTTAGTTTTTCATTAACCGATTTTGCAGATGACAAAAAAAAAAAAAAGGCAATATGTTTGTGGTCTCTGTGTGACGTCTGGTTTGGTGTTTGTCCCTTGTCCTGGAGCTGAGCCCTGTGAAGGGAGGGATGTCTTCTGGTCCAGCCCAGCATTGTTTGGAGCCAGCCCGCCTGGCACGTAGTCGGCCTGGGAACTATGAATGTACCACGCAAGGAATGGATAAGTTACGTTAAAACCTTCCAGAACAGGATGGAAGGGGATAGAAAGTTCCAGAAGACTTCCTGGTGCGCCGCAGTGCCCGGGGGCCCCCCGGCTAAAGGAGTCGGTCGAGTTTGCCGGCAACGTGCGCTGCGATGAGGTCATCGCTGGTGTGAGATCTGGGACTTTGCGTGCCTCTCTGAGGAAGTCCCTTAGCGATGCACCCAGTTCTGCTCCCAGAGCCCAGCGCTGAGGTCCCAGGGCGTCAGGAAACGGCATTCATCAACGCGCACTGAGCTGTAAGCCCCTGTTCCAGGGACAGACGTATTTTTAGACTTTTTGACGTCCAAATTCCA